TTTAAAAAAGGCAAATAAATTCTGAATGCGGGGTGGCTCGTTATACCAGCAGTAATGTGGATTTTGGAAAGGGAATCATTTATGAAAATGAGTGGCCAATATCTGGACTCTCATCCCCGCTTCAGGTTATGGTAGGGAATGAAAACAGGCAATTCCCGTCATATCTGAATACTGAAGAACCAGACATGATCACGTTTGACGAGTCTGAAGACGTCCTGTGGACATGCAATATGCATGCAAGTTGTTTAAGACCGCGGAACATTAACTGGCAAAATTGAAAATATGCAGCTTACGTCATTTCCATCTGTTACAGTCAAAACATTTAATGATAGACAATGAAATGGGCGGGTACAATTCGACACGGAAGTACAAAAAACATTGGATTGAAATTCTAGTTTGAAATTAGTTTTCAATCCACCTCAGTCACTCTAGAACGCACGGTGTTACTGATTGACCCAGAAGACAAATAATTTCAATTTCGGAGATAGTTTGAAATATATATATAATCATAATTTTCTTTACAGGGTTTTAAAGGAAATATAAAGGGCAAGATATTTGATTTCTTTTTGGTATGTGTATGTCTGTGCTGGGGGCGGGGGCGGTTGGGGCGATCTTTGAAATAAATAAGAAAAGTTTTCGCTTAGTTTGGACAACACCCCCTCCCTCCCCTCTTTTTGTTTTAACATTTATCAGTGGAGACAAAACTAAAAAAAAAGCTCTTGTCATCCTAGAAATAAATATATTCTGTCAGGTGAAGGCATGATCTGACTTCACAATTTTTGACAGCCCCCCACCCCCTTCTAGAATCAAATGACCGTTCCCTGAAAAAAAATAATCTCTGCCTTGAGTTCTACAGTGGCTGCACCGTTATTGTTGACAAACCAATCGTGTAGAATCGTTCGTGTAACGTGCATGATTGTTCGTGTAGCGTGAGAGATCATGCGTGTATCAGTCTCAATCATTTGCGGTTTAAATCGTGCGTGATCGTGCGGTAAGAAACGTGCAAATTTCGTTTTGTAACTTTTTATCGGAATGTAATTTGTTAAAAAAAAGCATTTCGATCGTCTGTTTCAATTGAAATGAAAAAAAAACAAGATGTGTTTGTAAAACACTGACGCCCCCGTATGGCAACTTATAGCGAAGATTAAACTTTCTCAAATGCAAATCAAATATGTAGGTACCCAAAGTAAGGTCTTGTCTCAAAGAATATACCTGTGAAATATGAAAGCTCTATAGCTAGCAGCAACCATTGAAAAGATATATAAAAAGTTTAAAGTTTTTCAAAAGTGAGTCAAACATAAGGTCATGTCAAATGGTCGAAATTAATGGTGCCTAAGGAAAGGCCTCTTCACAAAAAATACACATATGAAGTATGAAAGCCCTAGCGCCAAATGTTCAAAAGTTATGGACAAGGTTCAAGTTTTCCAAAAGAAAATCAACTCCAAGGTCGAAGTCAAAAGATCAAAGTTGTTGGTATTCAAAGGAAGGTCGTGTCACATGGATTACATATATGAAGTATGAAAGCCCTAGCACCAAATGTTCAAAAGTTATGGCCAAGGTTAAAGTTTTCCAAAAGAAGGTCAAATTCCAAGGTCAAAGTCATAGGGTCGAATTTGTTGGTATTCAAAGGAAGGTCTTGTCACAAGGATTGAATATGTGAAGTATGGAAGCCCTGGCACCAACTGTTCAAAAGTTATGGCCAAGGTTAAAGTTTTCCAAAAGAAGGTCAAACTCCAAGGTCAAGGTCAAAGGGTCAAAGTTTTTGGTATAAAAAGGAAGGATTACATATGTGAAGTATGAAAGCCCAAGCACCATCTGTTTAAAAGTTATGGCCAAGGTTAATGTTGGGTAAAATTTTGAAAAACTGGGTCAAACTCCAAGGTCAAGGTCAAAAGGTCAAACATGATGGTACCCGAAGAAAGGTCTTGTTACAAGGAATACACTTTTAAAATATGAAAGCCATAGCTCCAACCAATCAAAAGTTATGGGCAAGGTGAAAGTTTTTGTGGACAAACAGATAGATAGATAGACAGACAGACAGACGGACGGACAGGGCAAAAACTATAAAACCTTCGATTACGGGGGCATAAATATGGAGCGCGGTTTACAATATTGAACGAACTAATTATCACTAGTAAGTAAGCAATATAATAAGTCGTACAATATTGTATTCTCTTAAATAGAGTGACTTTTAATAATAAATTGAACGATTTTACTCTAATGTTAGCTATGATTACTGCTAATTGTGGTCAAGATATTTTTATACCAATGCATTAAAAACGTATATCTTTTACAAAAAATAATAAATGATTCCGAATAATAAATATTAAGTCGGCGAATGTACACGACATGACTCTCGGGATTACTTTACAAAGTGTTTATCCACGATACTTATTTTAGTTTTATAATTTCTGCAAATAAATAAATTGTAAAATAATTGCTGATTTAAGAGATTCACCAATGGAAAGATGGATATGGTTTTAATTAATTTTATGCCGTAATTTAAATTTTAAGCGCCCTTACTGCATATCATAAAAATAAATAGAATCAAAACACACCATGCTCACGGTCCACCTATATCACTTGACAGAATATGCAGCAATCGATCATAAATTACATTTTTACGTACTAAAAAAGTTGTTAAAAAATCACTTTTCCTAAGTTGGAGAATTAGATAAATAATTATTTGTGATTTTAAATAGCGATTAAGGCTTATTTACTTTCAAAAATATCCATTCTTTTTTTTTTTCTTCTTTTTTTTTTTTTTTTTTTAATTTCATATTTCAATAATTTGCATCAATAATTGTTTGTAATATAAAACAACTATGCTAAGTCTTAATAAATCGTTTTGAAAATATCCACCCGTTAATATTTTTAACTATTTTGCGTGAAGAATCGTGCGATTGCAATCGTGAAAGATCGTGTAAGTGTAGAATCGTGCGCGTGAAGGATCGTTCGTAACAGGTTTAATCGTGCGTTAACGTTCGGAATCGTTCGTGAAACGTAATCGTTCGGGTAAGTTGTCAACAATAACGTTGCAGCCACTGTATTACCTTTATGTGTCCTTAAAATATTAGGTTAAAAATTTTTATAAATATGAATTTCAAACAACAGGAATTGAAAGTATTTGTCATTTGAATCATACATTTAAACCTAAGGTTTGAAAACAGCTCAGGTGGATTGAAAATGAATTTCAAACTAGAATTTCATTGCAATATTTTCTCGGACGTCGTGTCGAATTGTACCCTCCCATTTCATTGTCTATAACTGTAACAGATTAAAATGACGTACGCTGCATATTTTCAATTTTGCCAGTTAATGTTCCGCGGTCTTGTTTGGAAAAACAAGAGCTGCAATCTTGCTTAGTCATAAATTCTTAATAGCCAATACCGAAGGGGGGGGGGGAGGGGGGGCTACCTTTATTTAATATAATTCATACAAGTGTGCGCTTATATTTTTTATCCCCTAGCGATGAAACCAGAGGGGACTATAGGTTTCCTCTGAGTCTCTCTGTGTGTCTATCTGTCTGTCTGTCCGTCTAGCTGTCCCTCTGTCTGTCTGTCAGTCTGTTCCACTTTGTTTTCCGCACTTTTTCTAAACGCTTGCAGATATTAGGCTGATTTTGGGTATGTGAGTGTATCTTGATGAGTTACAAATCAGGTTTGCATTTCGTTTCGCTTCAATGATTTTTGACGGAATTACGACCTTCTCAATTTTTTAGGGTTTTCCGCATTTTTATTCTTAACGCTTGCAGAAATTTTGATGATTTTTAGTATTGACTTTACCTTGATGAGCTATAGTTTAAGTTTAAGTTTGCATTTCGTTCCGCTTCATTGATTTTCAACAGAATTATGGCATTTTTCATTTTTTACGGGAACCAGATTATACTTGTCGGTAGGGGACTCGTATTGCTAATGCAATACTCTCAGAATGCTTGTTTAATTATACCCCCTTTTAAACTTGGGAATGCATGATTATGAATGAGGAAAATTTTACGTACAATGATTTAGATAAAATTATTTGCATTTTTTTTTTAATATCAAACTAACATTACTGCCTTATTTGGAGAAATATTAACATTTTTTCCATGTAGGGCAGTTATGTTAGTTTTAGTGTTGTTGTAAAATGTGCTTTATAGATAAAAAATAATTCATTACAACATGTATTGGTAACGATCCTCTAATAAAACTAATAAAACTAATTCCAAATAACTGTATCTCACTTCCATTCTCAATGACCGTGTAGTGTAGGACAGCGCCGCAAGAATTCCATCGGCATCGAAAGCAAGTTTTTTGACTTGCCTAGATAGCCGAGTGGTCTAGCACGCTGTTCCTGTACTGCTAGGAGACAGATTCCGCAAGTCGAGAGTTCAACCCCGGCTTGCGGCGGAAGTAGGTATCCTTATACATCTTTCTGCTCTCTCTCTCTCTCTCTCTCTCTCTCTCTCTCTCTCTCTCTCTCTCTCTATATATATATATATATATATATATATGTGTGTGTGTGGGTGTGTGTGTGTGTGTGTGAGGGTGTGTGTGTGTGTGTGATTTGGCATTGTTTCACACTTTGATTTTGCTAACAATCTTTGTAAATCATTGGCATTGCGTTGTTTTACTTTTATCGCTTTATTCAAAATGCAAGCAACATGCAGTTTTCTCACTGAGCTTGCAAAGATGTTTTGAAAGTCGGATGCTCGAGCTGAAAGTCCGAATTTTGAATTCCTTGTTTACATGTAACTCTGTGTGAACAAAATGTTGCAGTGCACTGAGCAAAGTCCACAGTGCAATATTAATGTTGCTTGAATTCATAATGAATTAACTTCATAAGTACCAGCTAGTGTTCACCTAACAATGGACTTAGTTCTTTGAGAAACTCCATGATAAGTATTTCCAATGCATGTTTTGGTTTGAACGCAATGACAAATATCATTAATCCAGCGTAATTAGATTTAATTACAATACAGATGTGAACATAATATTATTAGTTTTAGCTACTAATGGTAAAAGGGAAAATAATAGGAGTTCAAAATACCTTTTATCTAAAACAAAATGGCGGAATAAAATAATTTTTTTTTAAAATATCACATTTTGAAGAACAAGAGATACGCATCCCGAGATTTCAAAGCTTCTGTGAGGGTGGAATGTGTTACATTGCTATCATTGCAATAGTACCAATGCTCTGTGTTGGGTGAAAGGTTTTTAACAAATGACGTGTAATGACCGCCATGTATTGATCCATGATGGTTCACAACACCGTACAGATGATAAGTCACACTGCTGCCATTCTGAAAGAAAATCAAATAAAAAAAGTATATCCACATCAGAATGAACATATTTTGAATAATTTTGGATATTTGAAGACTGTCAGAGCAAGTATGCATACCCATATTTAAGTTATTGAAGTTCAGGTTTAGAGAAATCAGGCGATCATTAACTACTTACTAACAAAAAATACTAGTATTTTAAGAGACAGTGCATTTTTTTTTTTTTTTTGCAGACATTAATATTAATGGTTAATTGCGAGATTGAGGGGTCATTTATGCATCAGAACTCAGCTATTTGTTTTCTTTATGAAGCTTTTCATAAATTAAAGGTCAATGCCAAGATAAAGCTTTTCATTTTGGGATGGTATGGTTGTTCAGTTAAATATGCGAAGAAAGGATAAGTAAGGAAAAGGTTCGGTAAGGAGAAAGAGAAAAGGGAGAAATGGAGGGAGATACCTGTGAAAGGAAAGAGGACAAGGTACCATCAGGAAAAAACTGACTATTCAAATTTATAAACCATAGCATGTTTCTACCGTGTCCTTTTTAAAATTCCTTTTTTTTTCTTTGTATCTATTTTCATATACTTTTTTGAGGTTAAGTTTGTTTAATCTTTTCATGATCAGCAATTGTTATCATATTATATCTAAAAAAAAATATGAAAAAAGAAGCACCAAAACTACTTTAAAATAAGTTTCTTTTTTTCTCAGGATTAACTGCAGTCGGATTGTTGATCAAATAATTGATATAATTTACTAGTATGAGAATACATTTAATTAATTACCGATTTTGGTACTCTCAATTTTTCAGCAAAGCCAATTCTTCGCAGGGATTTTGCAATATGGAGATGTCCGCCATAACTTTTCTGAAAATTCCTTAATATTTAATTTTTAGAAAGACAACTGTAAAATAGTCCGTTATTAAACAAACGAATTTGTAGCTAGAATACAATTAAGAATCTAGCTACACATTTCACACAGAAATATTAAATTCTCCATACCTCTTGAAAACACCCGAGTTGGATTACAAGAACTTTCGGCAAGATGCGAAATGCCATTGCTTTTCTTGTTTTTCCTTTCCCTGAAGGTAAATATCCAAAGGTCTTTCCATGAAAACAACATGAAAGTCAGTCGTGTTCACTTGCATAATTTAACATTATGTACAAATAAATCTTTAAATTTAAATATTTTCCGTGCAATTGTATCTTTAGATTTAAGAATTTTACATGTATATCTACATGTATATCTATATGTATATATCTAGCAAAACTAATTTTAACGATTTGAATATCATAAGAAATGTTAAGCTTTTATCATCGATATGGATCTGAACAATCTCGCTGTTAATCTTAGAATAAAATTCGCGTCAAAAAATCTGCTTATGCATGTATTGTATTTATCTATACCACCTGAACCACATTTTCTACAAGGGACATCTGCCTCATCGAATTCCTCTTCATTCAGCAATGAATCCAAACCTCCCTCCACATTCTAAAACCATATTACATTAATCACTAGGGTTATTGTATTAGAATAAGAATAAAGATTTTTTTTTTCTTCAACCAACATGTGCATGCAAACTTACATGTGATTCTGAGGGAATAGTTAGACTTCTCATAATTTGAGTATCTGTTTCTTCTTTCTACAAAGAAATATGATGTAATTTATGAACAATTCTCCTTAAATATTATGTTTTCATGCTTCATACTCAAAAGATGTAAATGACCATTATCAAACATACATGTACACAGGAATCAAAATAAAATTCATCCACCATTTCTATTTCAAATATACGTGTAGCTTCTAAAAAGGAAACAAAAAATGGAGGAATATTATTTTCCTTATAAGTTCAAAGTCTCTCTCTCTCTCTCTCACACTCTCTCTCTCTCTCTCTCTCTCTCTCTCTCTCTCTCTCTCTCTCTCTCTCTTACTTTAAATTAAAAAAATTCCAGGCCTTAGTTCTGTAAATAAAAATTATATAAAAATATTTTTGAAAGATTTTAGATGTTGTGCATGTATTAAAGTATAGTATATTATACCTTACCTAATCTTTTAGATGACATATATAATGGACGTTGCATCTGTTTTTATAGTCTAATAACTGTTCATGAATAGATGTTAAATTATCATATTTGTGTTTTTATCGAATATGCATTTACCTTTTGCCTGGTTTTCATCATATATTTCACTTAACAAAGCTAGAAAAAAGGAGTGACAGTCATTTTGGAACCCAATTCGAAATTCGTGTTCCCTGAAAATACGAATAGCACCAACAAATACAATTTAGTGACAAAAATTGTTTGTTTTCCGTTTTTATATAACTAAAAGAAGCTTAAGCATACGGAGCTGGAGCAGCACCTGCTTGAAACTTTATTCATAAGTGCTGATATCATTCCTGCAGCTAGGATTGGATCAAAAGTCAAGGAGTTCATTGACCGTAAAAGGTTCCGAAAAGCAGACGTAACAGTTGTTTTCTAGAAAAAATAATAAAGACGGTTTTGCAATAGAAACAAGATTAAATTATATGTTAGATAATGCAAATGAGAAAACTAAGGAAAGGTACTTAATGTATCAAAAAAAAGTAAAATGTTCACCACGGAGCAGCCTCAAAAAGTATTCCTATTCAGCATATGAATTGATGATATAAATTAAATATTTGGTATATCTTTACGTAAATGAATTGCGAATGCATTTTTCATACCGTCTGATAGTCAAAGCGTTTCAATGAATGGTCTATACAGGAAACTAGTTTCTCGTTCAAAAATGGTGTTTGTCCTAACACCTGAAATTGTTTTATACATGTCTTTAAGACCTTATGCAACTGTATACATATTTTTCTTTCAGAAATTAAGTAGTCTGTAATTTTTTTTAAGAATAGCTTTCCAAGATGACTTCTGGTTACCTGAAGCAAGGAATTAGCGTAACAGGTGTTTCCTATGTTTGGTAGACCCTAGGGAAACAGACATAATAATAAGATACTTTAAAAAGAAACAAAAAATTGAAATTTATCAAGTAAGGATGTTAATTGGTCACTTAAAATTAAAATTCCTCGATACGTCAAATTACTTTTGGTGGTTCCCTCTTTTGTACCGTTGATTCCCAAGTTGAATAAAAAGCATGATCCTGTAAAATACATGCATTTAATTGCTTTCTCTTATGTCTTTATATACAGTATTTAGACATTGCCCTCGATCATCAAAAGGCTAAATTTACAAGTATAAAGTATTGATCAAAGACATTCATTTATTGATATTGCTTGTATCAGTGTTATGTATTATAATTTACAAAATAATTCACAAAGTACTTACATTTTCATGGAAAGTGTGTTTAGCTGAAATTTCTCTTTGAGGTATAATTTTATCCTGTTGTAAGATATGGCTAGAGCCCAATACTTTGTCATTGCGAATTGCTGACATCCCAAAGGTATATACCTTAATTAAAGCAAGATTAAAAAAAGTGTAACATTTTCTTCACGTGAATGTAGTTTAAATACGATATATGTTTAGAGTCACGTTAAATGATGCAAACTTTTTACCTGTGCCTTTTCTCCTCTGTGTCTTGAATCTACATTTACTTGGTGCATGTAAAATGAATCTGTATTCATTTCCTGTAAAAATAAAATAAATCAAATGTTTTCTGAAAGTTAATTTTCGATTTCACATTGAATCTTTAATCTAAATCATTACCCGTTTATTCTTGTGTGTTTTTCTCTCTCATAAACAGGCAGAGAAAATATAAGAATAAGAATTTAAAAGAAAAATTAAAAAAAAATATTTTGATAATATTACGTACCGTAATTTTCATTTGGTTTTTATCCCCAAAGCCTACTCTATGTTTCTCATTTGATGGTGGTTTAAGAACGTTTGTGCTCAACTCTCCGACTCTCTGTATAGAGCATTCAGTAGTTCGCTGATGTTTTGGAACTTTCTTAACTTTTGCATCTCCATTCGACAACTGTGATATACATAATACAAATGATAAACCTACACCATTCAGTCAACTGAATGATAACTAAAAGGTCTGGAACTGTCGCTGAATGGCAGAGCTCTGTCATCCAGTTTTTTTTTTTTTTTTTTTTTTTTTTTTTTAGATTTTTAGTCACCTTTTATTTGACTGCTTGGCAGAGTTTCATCCCATAATATACGACATTTATTAATATTTTCGTTACGCACAGAAGTAATGTTATGGTCAAAAATATGTTAAAGATACAAAATTTTTAAGTTCGGAAACAAATAACTAATATATAAGTAAATATATGTATTAAGATTCAACTTAAAGAAATCTACAGTATCTTTTTTATTTAAAATTTTGTATTTATGGAAAATTGAAACTATATAAATTATGTTACCTTTGAGACAGCGTTGTCTGGACATTTCAATTCGTTCTTGTTAATACTCGGTAATTGTAAACTATGACTTTGATTTGATTTCACCATTCGCAGATTTCCACTTTGTCCTAAGTCCTTTATTGTATACTATAAGAGAAGGGGATATTAAGCTTTGTGATTCAAACGTAATATTCTGCTTACTAAATGAAATATTTGCCAAATTAAATGTTTGTAGCAGTTTCTTAAAATTTTACCGATTCAGTATGCCTCCCTTTGCCACTAAATTGTGGATATGGGGCAGATCCTCTTCTTAAGCTGTTTACACCTAGTTTCGTCGGGTAACTCTATATGAATAACATACAAGCTTATATAATAATATCTGTGTTCCCTGCAAAGCAGAATGATACGAGGGCCGTTCAATAAATAATGCAATAGGTCATCTAGAAGTAAGAAAAGTACGTAATACATATTATAAACATTTTCAATCCGTCAAAGCTTTCCCTGTTATCCTTTACACATGTCTTAAGTCTTTGTACCCATGACCAGAAAACTTCAGCATACCCATCTTTAAGGATACCCTAAAGACACTGATGAATATCACTTTCCATGACATATCTCATATTATGCAATCTCCCTTTGATTGTTTTCATACATTTTTGGAATAAAAAGATCTCAAAATGGTTGAGATCTAGGACAAGCTCTAAAATACTTTAAAATGATAAGATAATATTTCCCGACGGAATGGTTGTTAATTACCAAGATTACAAAACTTGTAACCTTAAACTTGAACATTATTTTTTCTTTTCAAAATATTTCATAGCCCCAATGCATGTATACACTTTATTTTATGAACTTTGAGAGTTAGGTCTGAGTCATTAGTCAGTTTTACTTTGCATCGCTTCTTATAAGTGATAATGATGAAAGAATTCAGTGTTACAGTTTGTGATAGTTAATACACTTTTCGAGAATACTTCATCGATTTGATTGAACTGATAACTTTGATACTTAAATTTAGATATTTTTAACTAGCATGTATTTCCAAGATTATAACCTCATCTCATCATAATTACCTTTAAATCTGTTACACATTTAAGATACATTCAAGTTCTTAGATGATAATAATGAAGTAAAAACAAAGTCATTCAGAATGAGAAAAAAGCTATCTATTGCTAGTTAAAAATCAGTGGGAATGTTGAATTGTTGAGGGAAGAAATAAATTATATTTGCCCCAACTTTCACTGAAAACAGGGATATTAATTTGGGTATGTTCCTCTTTCTGTCTACCTGTCTGTTACCTGTGTCTGTGCAACACTTTATTTTCAGACGATTTATTACAAAATCCTTGAGTCTGTGATATATTATGTATCTGGAAGGCAAACAAATACAGAATTGCCAATCAGTTGACCGTAAGACGTTCACACCCCTTACCGGTTAATCGGATTTACAATTTTACTTGGTATTTTATTTCCTCAAGTCCCTTAAGCATAAAATATTCCTATTTCAAATGTTTGTTTGTTTGTTGTTGAACGTCTCTCCCGAGAATTTTCATTCATATGGAGATCTTTTTCGTGCCCGCACCTACTGCGACACGGGACCTCGGTTTATATGGTCTCATCCAAAAGACTGGTCTCCACGCCCTACAGTGGGATTCAAACCCGCGACGTAAGGGTCAACTCCTTACTCCGCGACTCTAGAACAGACGCTCTTACCACTGCGCCACGCGTGCGACAGTTTTCAAATGTCCTTGATGTCCCTGACATATCCAACAAACTAGACAGTGAGTACTTATATTCATATTTGAAATAAAAACGTAAATTTTAAATGCTGATTTTAGATCATAAATAGGCGAGGCTTTTATGTTCATTTTCATTTCACCCGCCAATTGAGGTTTATAACAAAGCCGCAGCAAGTGATTGAAATGCATAAGGCACTTGAACTTTCAATTTGCGAAATTTACATTCAGTTGTAAATATCAAGAAATGAACACATTTAACTTTCAGAGAGTTTCACAGAAAAAAAAAAAACATTCAGCAATGTAAATTTTCACTTTATAAGGCCACTGTGCTCAGTCAGATGAAAAATACAGTTAATTTCATTATAGAACTAAAGATCAAACTTGGTGATCTCACGGTTTTAAACAGTAATTTACACTCTAAACTGACTAATTAGAGTATATTATATACTACGACAATCTCAATTGAAAGCCCTGTCTCTGTAAGTTTAATAGTTACAGCCAAGGTTCACATTTTGAAAAAGAGGTCAAACTTCAAGGTGAATGTCATTGAGTAAAAAAAATTACAATATAATTTAGCAAAAAATACACATGTAAAAGTAAGAAAGCCTTGCCTTTTCAGGTTAAAAATGTTCAGCATAGGTTAAAGTTTATATATGTAATAGTTCAAAATCAAGGTCATGAGGTCTAAAGCATAATGTTTTCTGATAGGACTTATCACAGGTGTGGCACATGTAAACTTCTAAAACCCTTTTCCTTAAGGTGCCAAAGTTACAGCCTATATTATGATTTAGTAAAATTAAGTCAAGAAGTAAATATTATAAAGAAAAAAATATCTTTTAAAAAGTTTTTACATAGATTATGCAGGTGTTAAATATGACAACCCAATCATAGATTACTCGGAACTCAGTGCCATTGAGCAGTGAGGGATCTTTATCGTGCCAACACCTGCCGTGACACGGGGCCTCGGTTTTTAAGGTCTCATCCGAAGGACCCGTAACTTTCACTTCAAAGTGCCGAGCGCATGGCGTAGGAACAGTTGCTACCCATTTTTTTTATCAACTTGGGTCAGTCACGACCTCCCGATCACGGAGCAAGCGCTCTACCGACTGAGCTACCGTGAACGGTTTTACACATTGAAGTTTAGTTTGTATGGATAAATACATCAGAGTGTCGTGAGGTCATGAATATATTTTGATAATATCTTTTTTTATTTGAACATGCAGAAAATTATAATGCATAAAGGTATAAATTGATATCTTTTTTTTTACCTTCGATTAATGGGACAGACAGAAAGGCATGCAAACAGGCACCGGGTAAATTCATTCTTAATTAATGTTGATATTATAGGCACCATATAAGATTATTGGAAACACTTTCTATATATTTTTCAGTGAAAAGCCACAGACAAGGATTGTAAAAAATAATTTAAGAAATCGATTTTTATATATACTAACCTCTTGTTTTGATTGAAATTTATCTGATTGATTGATCATATGATGCTTTTCATGTTTATCTGTGAAGACAAAAATAATTTAATGATTATTCTTATAATGAATTTTGGGTAGACTGTGAATTACATTTTCATAATATTGTTATGTACATGTGTTTACATGTCTTTGAATTGTAATATGATAATATATTTTATATGTATATTTACAGCTCTTTTTCAGTTCTGCGTGGCTTTGACCACTTTGCCGACCTGCAGTGCCTCTGTGATAAAAATATGAATAAATGTAAAATTGTTAAATTGTAAGTTTAGAAAGATGATAACTACGCAGTATACATTGTAGATGAAACATTTAAAAGCTACATTGTTAGAAACTTTTAGGAGTATATGAGATATATCCAATAATATTTTTCAACTCACACTTTAGCCAGCATTGCTTTGCTGATCATCATCATAGTTTTAAAAGATTTAATTTTATAGTTTGTAATCACAATGATCCTGGCTGAACCAATCTCGAATCTAATTTCAGGAGGATGCTGAATATCAACAACTAATGTGGCATTTTTTTTAATATGCAGAAGGCATCTAAAAAACATTTTCCATATTCATGAATTCATATTTAAAAAGGGAAATCTTTATAATTAATATAGAATATAAATTTCAGCTCAGTCCCAACCTAGCGTTCAAAGTTTGGGGAAAAAATGAAATTTTGAAGAAGAAATGGTTGCAAATTAACGCAAGAAATTGGTTTTTAAACGATTTTTCTATAAAGCTCCCTATATAATCTATGTAAATAAATTTTTTTCTCCTTTTATGGCCCAGATAGTGTCTAATTTTCTTTCTTTTTTTTAAATTCTGGCTTTAAAAATCGTTCGTAAATAAAAAAAAAAAGTAATGAGGTAAATAA